CAGGGGCGGTTTCCAGACCTGCCCTGCGCACAGATGTTCATACCAGCTGCGTCGCTCTGTCCGTTTGCTCAGGGGATGAGGGTGCGGCCTGCAGGAGGGCTGGGGAAAGGCCTTGCCTCAGGTCTGAGCCCGGGGCAGCTGCTTTATCCCACCTGGAGCTGCAAAACGGCCTCGCTGAAGGAAGGAAGGCGCTTCAAGCGGGCCCACGTTGCTTTTGGGAGAAAACACTTGGTGAGTCAGGGCTGGGAGGAGAGATGATGCGTTGCAATTTATGTTTGAAAGAAAAAATTGCCGTTTTAATTATCAGAAACATGCCCGGCAGTTGCACTCTCTCCCATCCGTAGCCAGCCAGCTCGTGAGGGCCTGCTGGCGCAGTGCTCGGTGTGCCTTGGTTGCGTTTCAGCCTCCGCGTGCTTGCTGCGGGATTCATTGCATTGGATAATTGTCCCTGAAAGGCCGTGCAGAAGAATCCAGCGATTACAGAAGCTGCCCTGGAGCACAGGGAGTGTCCTATGGGTGCAGCAGGGGAATCTCTGCAGGGTTGCGTAAGTGTAAGGGATGGCAATCCAACGTCGTGTTAGCCAAATGCTCTTCTTCCTGAGCCATTCGTTCCTCTGTATTCTTGGTTACCTTCCAGGAAGGTGATTTCTCCTTGTCCTCGAATTCCCACGTATCGTGTCATTATCTTTTTTTGGGCCAAATACAACTGAATGAATGGACGCCCATAGAAAGAGCTTGGTTTTTGTGTTTTGGCACAAAAGGAAGTTTTCCTCTTAAGAGGATTGGGCAGGCTTTGGAAGGTTTAAGAGAGAGTCAGTTGCCGTATCTGCCTGCTAATCCCTCTCAGGCACGCTGTTTCTTCTGCATGTGCTGCTCAGGAGCTCTCAGCAGTATTGTAACTTAAACATTCACTAGGATAACATAAATACTTTTATCAAGGCTGAGGTCCCTCACTGTTCGACAATCTTTGTGTGGTATCAAGTAGTTGTAGGTTACGGTATTGTTGAAACAGTCCCTGTGCATGCTGGAGTTTACAAAGTGCTTTGGGTTAAAAACAGCCGTATAAAAAAGCAAAATTTTACGTTCTGCCTATATTTTTCTCCTGTGTTCTTGGGATAGGCACTCTTCAAGTAATATGCTGAATTTCACACGTGTTTGTAGCTGTGTTCTTGGAAGAACAGGAGGCACTGCTACAGCTGAGGGGGCCTGGTTTTGCCCTCACTGGTGCGAAAGCATCTCCCTCCTAGCAGAGATTGAAAGCACACGTGAATGTCACTAGCTGACAGCAAACAGAGCAAAAAAAGGCAAGTTTTACCCCAAACGATGCTGTGTTTCTTTCTCCTGCTGTGGATGCCTTAGTAGTGCTTCCCAGGTGAGCCAACTGTGAGTGACATCTTTACGTTGGCTGTAAAACAGCTTGAAAATGCTGGATGAGCTTGTGTTTAGCTGCACCGGAGTGGTCCCAGAGCCGAGAAATTGGTGTGTAATTCTAACGCCAGTTATGACGGAGCGTAACCGTGCCGCCCGTGCTGAGTGTCTAAACCAGGGAGATGGTGTCCCCGTAGGTCCAGCAGGCAGGTCAAAACACCCAGTCGGGTCCTGCTGTTTGGAAAGACCTTTTGAAGACATTTCATTCTGCCAAACATACGGGAATTGGCCTCCTAACACAGACACTGTTGTCATGACGAAATGCAGAAATGCCACAAGTGTGATTTTTGGCAAATAGAGCAGAATAAATCCTCAAGGACCTCACAGCTGAAGATTTGTGAGTGCAGAAGAGCATGAAGGGCAGTGGCCCAAGGGAGGAAGGAGGCGTTGTAGGCCTGGAGGGAACGCCCTCAGCACATCATAGGTTATCTGATTACACAGCCACTCAGGTATCGATTTGTTACAGCTTTTGGCTTTATTCTTAATTTGAAATTCTTTTCCGTTCCCTGGCAAGAACAGGAGCAGGCTAATTTAAAGCAATCCCTCGCTTTGGAGAGAAGTTCCTCTATCTTCACGGTTGCCAGGATCTTGTCCTTTATTGCTTAGTTTTCCTTTCTGGTAATCAATATTGTGCAGTTGCCGTGTGTGGGAGGGAAGTTGAGAACAACCGAGCAGATATTCTGAAGTGATTAGAAGGAACAAAATTTTGTACTACTAATGTGAAGCGAATGGCATTGGTAAGCTGGGTTCTCTCTTTCTTTAGGTTCTTCATTTCCTTGATTCTTTGTACATGGAGGAGTTAAGACACAGTCGTTTCTTCCAAAAACGTTCTCGTGTTTCGGTGCCTTCTGGAGGAAGAGGAAAGGTATGAGTGAGTCGACTTCATTTTATCTAAAGGGAGCCTCATTGGTCTCTATAATTTGTAGTAGATCTGAAATTCAATTTACTTTCTCATTTTGCTTTCTGCACGTCTTTCAAGCCATGGAGCAGAAGTGGATGGCTTACAATAGCGTCCTTTTCATCTCTGCCTTCTTAGGCACATGGCAAATTTTACCCAATTTGCAAAACTGCTACTGGAAGGCACTTAGATGGCAGAGTACTATGATGACTTTAGCAGAATCTCTACAGTATAATTTATTATATGATTGTTATGTTCTTATAGTGCACTTAGGGCAAGAGCTCTTCGCAGTGAGCAGCAGGTGACAGATGAGGGTGCCCAGCCATTGGTCCTGAGGACAGTAATTTACTCCCTATTAGAGATGGAAACAGTCCTCTTAGAGTTTACTGCTTTTGAAGTGGGACAAAGAAGAAACAAATAACTATTTCAGCATAGAGTCCAGAGAATGTTTAGATTTGGAGTGAGTTTTAACTGGACATTCTGTGGAAGGACAGAGGAGGTGTCGAGGCACTGGAACAGAATGTGTTCACCAACAGCCTCAGTCTCAGAAAAAAACTCCCGTCCTCTTACATCCTGTCACCTCTCCCCTGCCCATCTGATCTGCCCAGCTCCTAGAGTGCTGCGACTTTATTTCCAGCTACTATCAAAGGAAAGAGAAGCTGGGAGGACGTGTGAGACTTCAGCCAGACAGATGTCTCTGCCACTGCTCGATAGCCGGTATAGAACGGGGTCACTAACTAGCTGTCCCTGTCAGGCTTGTCTGAGACATGGAACATCCCACGTGTCTTGAGGCTACTCGTACATAATTTAGACCATTCCTGAATGTGATTCCACAGGTGAGCATAACAGAAATAGCCTGCCTGGGCTGCTGATGCCTTCCAAACTTAACTACCAAATGGATCAAGCTAACCAGGGTCTTAGGATAATTATTCCTTCGCTGTAGGCAGTTCAGGTTACCAGCAAATCTCTACTGTTTGCCCAGCGGGAAAATACCTGTAAGATGTTAGAAATTTAGAAAGGTTTGAGAATATTGCTTGTGTCTTTATTTTAAATCAGGCAATTACATTTTTACACTTTGTGGCAGAGGACGGACGTCGTCCACAGAGATAAGCTGTGCACGGAAACACCCTCGAATTCCTCGTATGATAGAAGATAATCTGCAGCTTTGGAGGCAGAAAGAAGTGCATACCAGTAAGCCACTCTATTCAGTTATCTAACTTACTTTAGCATCTCTGGCCCCCAGAAGTTTCACTGTGTGTGCAATTGCACCCAGAGGAGGAATTTAGCATACAAACCTCTAGGCTAAATAAGGAGTTGGATTTGCATGTTGAAGCCTATTAAGTTAAGCGTTTGTCTTTCCTGTTGTGTATCTTTTCAGACTTTAATGGGTTGGTTCCCATGATAACACTTTTGACTTCCCAAAAATGACCCAAGGCACAAGAGTGTCACTCATTAACTCCTTCCAGCATTGGTCAGTAGAGCGATGATTAAAAAAAATATTAAGATTTTAAAAAGGAAATAGCAGAGGGGAAGCTGGGACAGGAAGAGTGCAATCCTGCAAGCCTGTTTAGGAAGCCAGAAATCGATTTCTTTTGCTGTTATTATGAGATTTTTTCCTAGCTTTATTTTCAGAGAATTTGCAATAGAAAGACAAAATAATCTCAGACATAATGGCAAAAAGCTTGCTCTCATGTAGCCACATCAGACCAGTCAACAGGATTTCCTTTTTCTCTCTCTCCTGTCCCCAACCATTCAGAACTGTGCAAGCTCCCACAGGCAGAGAGTTTACGTGAATCACAGACGTATTCTCTGCTTTTTCACATTCCTTTCCAACTCTTGCACTCTTAACACCAAAAAAACCCTTCTTTTTTTGCTATTGTAATCAGCATCCTCAGGCTCCAACTCACAGAATTAAATGAAAATCTCAGTCAGGTGAATTTGGGGTTTTATCCATAATCTCTAATGGATGTTTGTACATATCACCATGATAGTGAGATTCAGTAGTTTGATCAAAATGTGTGTGGTTTGTAACAAAGTCAAGTTAGTGTGAGTGTGGCATTAAAAAGCAACAAGCACCGAAGGCAAGAAAATACATGTTATTTCTTTGTGAAAATAACTAACGAACTAACTTTGGGTGTAAGTTCTACACCCACCTGTTCAAGGTGAAGGCATTTTCTACTATGTAGGCAAATATTTTTCAACCAGAGCAGTGTTTACTAAAACACTACAAGTGCATTACCTGTCTCTGGGGTCCATGAAAGACCTCGTATGTTTAAAATGAAGCAGATTCTTTACCACTTTTCTGACTTGCATCTTATCAGAGTGGGCAATCGTTAAGCACTGTATACAGGAGGATTTATCAAGCTGTTGAATAAAGTCTGAAAGGAAGCATCATGCTCCCGTATCTCACAGCCCTTTGCTGACCATGGCACTGTATCAGCTGCTGCCAGAGAGAACCACTTTCCTGTGTTTGGGTTTACAGTTGCCTGTTGTTTAAAAATAGAGCAATTTGCAAAAAGCAAATATAGCTTAGCTTTCCACTAGATCTGCTAACCAACAGCGGAATTGTGATGCTGTGTTGTTAGAAAAGTGCAGTTAGTTTTTCAGGGACGTGACTCATCCTTCCAGCTGCTTTCTGCCTGGCCCCTCATGTGTCCCCAGCTTCAGCAACTGGTTACAGATGGGTTGTTTCTAAGTGCAGGTCACCAAAATTCCGCAAATAAGCCCAAGGCTTTGTGCTGCATTGCTTAGGTGGACCTGTTTTGCTCTTTTCAGTTCTGGAATGTGGAGTTGTGGCTCTGAAGGTAACAGTAGCATATTCCATAGGCTCTGGGGAAACTAAATTGCTTGATGGTTCTTGAACATGGAAGAAAACTTTTGGGGAAGGCTGCATGTTGACATAAATAACATCTTCAGGCTTCAGCTGAGGTTGGTGCCTTATGACAGCATATATCGTACTGTCATTCAGTTCCCCTTCTGGCATCGTGCTTGCTGTGTTTTTTCCATCCTGAGAAACCACAAACGAGGAGAAGTTAAAGGAAATTCAGCTCTTTTTTGCTTCTGTATATTAGTTCATCCTATTTCATTTCTCCTTGTATCGTGAAACTTGGGGAAGAGAGGGGCGATGCATGGGGAAAGGGAATGTGTGCTGTGAGAAGTTTAGAAAACTTCTCTTACACAAAACTCTACTTCCTAAGATTTAAGGGACTGGCTAGAAAGGTGCGGCAACAGTTCACACACTAAATATTTTGGGCGATTGCAGCTGGCAAAGTTTTCCTTTGAGAAGAAACTCTGGTGCTCTTACAATTAATTATCAAATTTATGTGTTTGTTACTACATTTACTTTTCTGAGCGCTATAAACAAAAATATGCGGAAGGGCTCTGGCTCACTCAGACACCCATTCTGGGTTGTGTCTGCTTTGCAACAAGATGTCAGACAATCCACAAATGCTCATCCACGGCCAGCTGCAGTCTGCCAGCTCGAGTGGGTGCACCGTGGGGTGCACGGTGCTGTGGGCTTTATAATCCCCGTGAGCAGTGAACAGGGCGGTGTAATCTCTGCAGATGACAGAGATTAAGCAAAGAACCTCGAATGGGGGGTTTCTGATGATGTCTTACCTGCAGAGCTGCTTGTCCGAAAGAAGGATGTCTGCCGAAGTCCGTCCCTTTTCCTGCTGTGAAGGACACAATCTCCTTGGAGTGTAAAACTACACCTTTCTCTTTTCATTTTTAAGATGACCACCCCCACTATCCCTTCCTTGTGATTTAACTCATATCTTGCATTTCCCTCTCAGCTCAGTCTCATTGCCTCCCTGGACAATGATTTCTATGAGTGGACCTTCTTCACGTTTGGGGTGGTGGGGCAACAAGCTGCAGGGGCAGGAAAACCAGACGAGAGGATTAGGGAGCTTTACCTGCTCTTTTCCTTCTGATGTAAGCGGTGACGAGGAGCACAGCGGTGGCAATCAGAGCAGTTGTAAGCAGGAAGGAACTCAGCACCATGAGAGCATAGAGAGGCCTGCAGGGAAAAGCAAAGCATGATATTTACAGCACCAGAGGTGACTAGGTTAATTTGGGAGGGTTTTTTTGTGTGTTTGAAAATGAATTATGGTTCCAAGATAAAAATTTAGCGAGTGGCTGTTACCCCTGCTGTCTCTAAACAAGTGTGGTTCCCTGAGGTCAGTGCTGATATACAGCCACAGAGGATCCATCCCAGCTGTATTTTTTTTGGCACTTGGCAAGCCTGGGGAACGCTCAGGAGCTTGAATCCTCTTCCTGCAGCCATCTGCAGTGCTACCAGAGTTCAAAGGCATCCTCCGTCAGGACGCAGTAGCCCTTCTCGTGGTCTGGCTTTGATCAGGATCATTAACAGGGTCACCTTTGATCAGGCCTGGTAATAACTCTCTGGCAGGCTGTGTTGTTTAGCTGGGATCCCTCTTGGGCCAGTGTGCTTGTACAAAAGACAGAGTCATTGTAGGCCTGGCCCATAGAGTAGAGTCTTTTTTAACCAGGTAGAAAGGAAGAACACAGTCAGACTGAGCAGCTGCAGTAGAAGCCTCAGCCAGCGCTGCTGAAGCTGAGATGAACCTTCTTACAGCTTCACACAGGTCTTGGGGAGGTTGGACCAAGACTACAGGGAAGAAAGGGAAGCCTGTGTGTGTGTGTGTGGGCATGCATATGCTTCAGCTATTTGTCACACCATTCCTCAAACACTGCAGTGCAGCCAGAAAGTTATACTTGGGATCTGGGGGTCTCCAGTTTTTACCTCGGGTCCTTATTGCTGTCATCTGTGGAGTTGGCAACATCCACCTTCTTAGCGGGAAATGAAATGATGTGTAACTCTGTGCCTCGATTGCCATCTTCCCCTTGAAGAAAAAAACAAAAGCAGGGGAGTTTCTCACATCAACCTATCCCCGGTGCTGCGATGCCTTGGAAAACCCACTTATTCAATGGTTATATCATGTGCAGAGGTTTGGATTCTGCTTTCCTTACAAGTTTGATTCTTGTGCCCGATCAAAGGGACAGCTCCTGCTGGAGACAAGGTTTGCAGAAGGTATAGTTCAGCCATAAAAATTTATACAGTTTTCGAGAACGATGCGAAAAATGAGGTGCTTCTTTGGGCACATGAATGCTGGTAGAAAGGAAGCATCTGAGAAAAAAGGTTCGTTGTATGATTCCCTCACCCATTTTACAGTCACGTCAGAAAAATCAAAGAATACCTTCTGCCAAGTATCTCCTGGTTTTCTGCCTCCCATGCTGGCTAAAAGCAGAAAAGGATGTCAAGTGTTAAAACAAATACAGAAGTTAACGAATGACCAGTGGCACAGAGAGGAACTCGGGTGGCAATTCCGGCAAAGGTTCAGCTCGCTTGGAGTTGGTTTCGTTTGTTGATGTAAGTGTAAAGTTTCATTAGTCCATGAGGCCAAGGCAGACTGCCCCCGCCAACTGGCTGCAGTTTGTTTATGCCATTAGTATATATCAAAGATCTGTTTAAAAAAAGAAAGAAATTCAGGAATTATCTGTGTCTCAGGAAATTTCCAGGCTTAGAAGAGAGCTTTTTAACATGAACCTGTAATCTTTCTTGTCGAGTGATAAGGAATTGCTGACTTTTAGAAGATCATTAATTCTTTGATTAACTCACCTAAAACTTCCAGTGTGATCCTATTCAGTAGTTTGTTTCTCCCCTGGAAATGGCTCTCAAAGTGAAATTCTCCTGAGTCATTAAGTTGGAGCTTTTTCAGCCACACTCTAATCATTTTCCATGAGAAGTCATTCATCATTTCAGCCCTTCCTACTTTAGCAATACTTTGATCAGTTACCTCTGATAATAAGTTGACATCTAATTTGGGGCTCTATTTTGCACCAAATAAAATATTGAGGTTTCCTGATGCTGCCTCTCACAGAGCAGGAGCAGTGGAGGGACGGGAGATTCCCACTTTAAAAAAAAATAATAAAAAAATCGGCACACAAGTTCTAAAGAAAATTGAGAGGTGATTCATTAGAGGGAGAAGACAGGAAAAAACAACTCCTGTGGCAGTGTATGTCTCGCTCGACAAAGCAGCAGAGCTGGTGTCAACAGAAAGAACTTGCAGAAGACAAAGAAATAACCAGTCCCAGTGTGAGGAGGGCGAGTGCTGGAGCTGAAGCTGAGGTGGGAAAAGGGAAGTTCGGATTCTTGCTGCCCTTTCTGACCGTGGGCTGTGTCAGGGCCCAGGGCTCTTACTGCTGCGAAGTTCCCCAAGGGCTAGGACATGAAGCCACCTCAGCACATTTCTTATGCTTCATACACGTGTTTAGGTTTCAGATGGTGTTGCTCCACCTCACAAGTCTATGTGAGTTATCAAAGCTTTTCTGTGTGAAGGGTTTCTCTGACTATAAAGCACTTAAAAGAATGGAAAATTTAGTGCAAAGGCAAGTATTGGGTTTTGGTCTTAATCAACTTACTTGAAACATTTCTATCCTGTTTGGTTTTGACTAATGCAGTCCTACAAAATTGTCTTCATTGGTTTTGATGGTAAACTGTAAAATATTGATTATTTTCTTTTTTCTTTTCCTTTCAAACTTTTTGATTTCATATGGCAAAAATAATTTCCTGGCCACTTCTGCCTCCAGATACGTATAGACACATCTTATGGTTCTATGTTGAACTACATAATAGAGTTTTACCTTGTCCTTGATAACCTCTAGTGGCATCTCTGTGTCTAGATACACCATCTTTTGTTGTGAAACAAAAATGGACATGACACATCATTCTTGATTTATTTCAGCCGTCTCCCACTCGATGCACTGTTGACCTCATAGCTCACCCTCAAGTGAAAGCATCATCTGTATTCTTTGCAGCAGAATATTCCTCAGATCACCCCACACCGGTACGTGCCAGAAGCCTCTCTCTGAAGTGCTGTCACGATCGTAGAAAACCAACCACATCCTAAGTCTGTCAAGTCAACTGAATGATGCAGTGCACAGTTAAGATTAATCCTTTCTTTTAAAGGAGAGCTCAAGGCTAAGACCGGACAAGACTTTTCTGACAGCACCTTGCACAAGAATTTCTTCTCACATAAATTCTTGTGCACGTCATATGAGCAGTTAGCTCTGGAGGACTCTCCCTCTGTATGCAGGGACATTTGCGTGTCCTCTCCCGCCAGGCATCATTCTTCCAAAGAAAAAAATGATGTTACAGCTCATCACAATTATGCCATTTTTTCTTACATTGTACCCCTGAGACTCTTATGTTGCACCTCTGAGAAGAGTAATTTAACTCTGCAGGTTTGTCTAAATAAATAGATATGTTTAGCCCTAGTGCCACTTCCCTTTTTCCATTTTATTTCTATTGTTCCTCTTCATGAAGTCAATATTTATTTGCAATAAGAAAGCAAACAGCAGCTAGCCTGTCTCTGACAATATGTGATCTTTGATGTAACAGGAAAGAGCAATCCTCCCCAAACGCTGGGTCATTTCAGACTGAGAACTTGGCAATAGTGGGAGAGAAAAGTCTCAGAAGGGCAAAGTTTGCCAAATGTCCCACCATGAAGTTCAGTTTCTGGACGAAATACAGAACTACTGTAAGCAAAAATGAGAATCCCAAAGCTTGTGTAATTAAAGTGAGTAAATTTGAGGCTGAACGTTTCCTCCCTCATTGACTTCTGGGAATCTCTGTGCCTGGCTATAGGTGGCCTGAATGGAAAGTGCTCAAGAAAGTAACAGCCCAGAGAGCATCCTTTTCCTAGAAAAAAAATGAAGAGTCTCTGAGACTTACCTGGTAGTGCCAGCAAGAGCAGCAGGGCTGGAAAAGCTCCCATCCTGAAGCAGAAAATGGTTTAGGACAGAAAGGAAAAAAATGTATCGCAGTGCTTCTTTATCACTGAGAAATTCTCTGTTGCAGAGGAAGCGAACTTGCTCTGTCACTTGCAGTCGTCTGTTGCCTGAAGTGCTGATGCCTGTTTGGAATTACTCAGAATATCTTTTAACCACAATGTTAACGTTACTTCTTGGGTGGGAAGGCTGCATAATGTTTACTGGCTGCTATTTCACTTTAAATATATTATTGCCTAGATAGCCATATATAGCAATCGGGCTGTGTGGCTGGAAAAGAAATAGGCCTTTTCAGTGTCTAAGTCTACCTTGATATATTACAGAGCATCAGTTGGATGTGTTCATCCTTAGCGCTGCTTCGCATTTATATATCCCTTGGTCCCAAAGCCCTTGTATTGTGGTAACTGTCACTGTGTCCTCGTGGAAGCGGTGGATGGCCCTGCCTGAGGTCTCACAACAGGTTCCAGCTGGAACCAGGACCCAGATCTCCTGGTTCGAGCTGCGATTCCCTTGTTTCATAGCCAGGCCCCGCAGTGCTGAGCTGGAGTACCGAAGTGAGGTTTATGTTAGCAGAGGTGCAGTGGTGCACGACTGTGTACGGGCTAATTTACCCTCTGGAAACAGAGGGAATTAGTTTAGCCAGGGCCCAGCCGTGCATAGTCTGATCTGGTTTGGGGATCTGAGCTGCTGTTCCTGCATGGTGCTAACCGGGGCTGGCTGGATGTGCCAGCCTGCGCAGCTGGCTCAGAGTGTTTCTGAACCTCTTTAACTCACCAGCGTGTTCTGTTACCTCTTCTTTGGGTGATATATTTGTGTTCTGCTGTACCGCAGCTCTTTATTATGAATCCACATCGAGTCAGACAGGTAGTTTGATTTTTATTTAGCTTTGCAGGCAGCGCAGGGGGAAGAAGTGAGAATGCCCTTGGGGTTGGACATTTGTTTGCAAAGTCATTTGAGAAGTGAGGAAGCAGGCTCAGAGCTGCATGTAGACTTCACATCCCTTTCTGGTTTGTTCTGCAGTTGCTTACACCTTTCCACCGTGAAAGTTCACCAACAGTCCACACTGTCCAAGGCGGTTTTGGGGATCTAGTCCTCATCTCCTTGGAAAGACAGAATCCCTCCCCTGGCACTGCTCTGAGATGACACATAGTTGATGGGTCTCAGTTCAGACTCTGGTGGAATGACACTGGGGAGGGAGTATCTGGAGTGACTCTGCCTGGTGGTGTGATGCAGTGACTGGAGGTGATGGCAGAGAATTCTATTGCCAAAAGCGTGTCAAAAGTTTCAGTCTTTAGAGAGTGGAATCTTAGTTAAAAACCTGATTTAACAGCTTAACACTGTCAAATAACAATATTGGCTTTCGACACAACCATCTAGTTCTGCTTCTGTTTCATTCTCTTGAGGGAAGCATTCGAGTTTGAGTTGTTTTGTAGAGACATGTAGGACACCTTGAAAAAACCTATTTGTTCTTTAATACTGGTCTTCAGTGAATGAGAAGTTTGTTGGTGGTTTGAGACAGTCCCATGCCTTTCCATTTTTACATGTGGATGTGTTTGTGAGTTGCTCAACACATGGCCATTGAGATGTGTTACCCAAACTTCTATTTATGCTCACTGATGTACCTGTAGTTTTATTTACAAGACATTTGCCAGTAGCTGCAGAGAGCAGCCAAATTTTTTTCTGGCCTAGCAGTGAGCTGGGGAAAACTGAGCAGAGCTTTCTCACCTTTACCATGCCCTGAAGAAGCATCTCTGTGTGTAGATAATCTGTTCTGGATCCCCTGACAGCAGGAGGAATGCCTCTTTTCCCTCTGGCCCTCGGTCCCATCCCCTTCCATTAGGTTCAGGTGTTACTTGCAGCTTCTGTTCAGTTCAGCTGAGTTGGAAGAAGTTGGTCAGAGCCGAGGAGAAGAGGTGGTAGATGGTGACATTCCCTCTCTAGAGTGATAGGTCCATCGATACCTATGTTTAGTAGGAGATTCTTTTCTGATGGCAGGTGGCAAAGCTTTGCCTGCAAATGTTTGATGTTCATTTCGCTGTGACTCCCTTTGGCTTGGCTCTAAGCAGTGCTCTCCCAGTAGGAGCTGATTCCAGCATGTACAAGATCACCAGTGAAAGGGAGGGTCTCCTGCTCGTTTAAGGCTGGGTTCTTCTGCTCTGTTTCTCTGTTCTTCCTACTGCTGCCAACGATAAAGGTCAGCACAGCTGCCACGAACTTAGTAGCCAGGAATCCAGCAATGATGTAGAAGATGGTGAAATCAGCTTCAGGAGGACTGCTGTGGGGAAGCATAAATACAACAAGGAAAGAGATGGTTCAGCCTTTAAAGAAGCTCATAGTACACAATGTGAAGACGTTAACATCTCCTGGAACAGACAGTCCCTGCCTGTGCACGACAGAGCCTGGGAGGTTAGAACAACTATCCCAGGTTATCTGACATACGGATAAATGGCGATCTGCAGGAGTTGTTTTGCTTGGCACTAAAGCACGGCATTTTCTGGATTAGGGTAAAGCTGCTGTTTAGAAACCACACAGCAGCTCTAGGAATTGTCTAGATTAGGAAGAGGATATGCCTGTGCTGCCCTTCCTCTCAGCTTCAGATAGGGTTGCCAACGCTAATCTGCTTTAGTCCTGGGAAAACTGGAGATCACAGCCTGAGGAGTTTATGGCTTACCTGGAGATGCTCTGCACAGCACTAGGCTCTTCTGGCATTTGGGTCTCGAGGACAGCTGATGATGGAAACAGAACAGTTTAGTTTGCAGGTGTTGCTGAGTGATACTCATTGGTGTCACCAACACCAGTGTCCCAGCGGGGCACAGATAACCAAAGTGAGATTGGGCACTGGGCTGTGTGCTAGAATATGAGCCTGGATAGCAACAAGGGGATGACGTGTTAGATGTCCTGTGAGAGTGAGGTCGTGTTGCTGTAAATCGGGAACTAAAAAGGGTCAATGAAATGCGGTACCTCGTTAGAGTAAGGCAAAAGTAGATATTTACTATATTTACTAAAGCAAAGTCTTGGCATCTGCAGACACGTGAAATTTCAGTAGGAACTCATGGAACTCATGGAACTCAGAGCCCCAGGACGTACCTGTCAGCACTTCCACTTGCACCTTCATTAAGCTGCGTGTTTCCCCCAGGTAGTCAGTTGTGCAGTGGTACAGCCCAGCATCCTGCTTCTTGAGTCGCTTCATGGTCACTGTCAGGACCCCGTCGTGGATGTTGTCGCTGATGGAGGTGGTCCCGTTCCTGTTCTTCAGGAATGGCAGCCAGAACCGTCGGGCGCTCACCACATGTTGGCACTTGGTCTCATTGATCTGCTTGCACCAACTTTTTTCTCTCCACCGCTGCAGCCAGGGGTTGTAGGTGCAGTTGACAGAAATGGTGCCTCCCTCCATCCCGTACACCACAGTGATGTTCTCTGCAGCGCAGGGTGCTGGAAGAGAAAGAAGAGGTGGTGAGCCAAGTCTCTGTTGCATACGAACACATTATCACTCCATTTATGCTAAATGTCATTTTCATCTTTTACCACTCTAGTGAGAGCTGCTGTCACCTGTAGGGCTGTCACCTGTGGGCTCCCCCCAGGAGAGACACAGCGTGCTCAGATTCAGAGTCTTGCCTTAGACTTTCTTGAAGTACGGCTGCAGTGATCACTCTCACTGCTCTGTTGCTTGGCTCTCGCCAGGCAGCTGTTCTTCTGGGTGGCACTGAGGGAAGGATGTATCAGCTTCATTAATATTTGCAGATTTTTTGAAACTTTAATCCTTGCCTTCCCTTGTGGCCCTGTGGTGACTGCTCTGGATTGCTCGACCGCATCTCACTTCTTGTAATCGTTGGGCTCCTGCCCAGTGAGGGGAAACACTTTGTCAGCACGATTAGAGGATTAAATATAAACTTGCATTTTCCTCTTGTCCTGAGGAGCATGAAGCTGGGCACTCAGGTAGATTGGGTTGGCATCAGGCAAGCTATCTTGATTTTTAACAGCTCTTTTTACAAGGCAGATCATAAAAACCTAGTCTGACCCAATAATGACAGATTGTTGTGTGTAACTCTCCTTAGGCCAGTCTTGCTGTAACAGCCCTGCTTTGCGACACCCAACCTGCTCGCTTGCACACAGCTGCAGCAAGGCAGATTGCTTCAGGTTTTGGCGTTGAGCTCAGCCCTTCCACATATGTTCAGAGATGCAGATCTGGCTCTGGAGTATCCTCGGCTGCAGAAAAGGTCCTTTGCAGTAAATGCCCACGGATCCCCATGTGAAGGCTCTGTACACATCCAGAGAGAAGCAACAAAGCCCTGGAAAATGCTAGAATCACTGTGACACCTACAAACCAGTACCCAGCTAGCTGTTCAGGAGGTTACTTCTTAATCCCACTCCTAATTTCTAAATCCAAGGTTTTAGTAATTCTTTTTCATCATGTCTTTTAATATCCTACTCATTTTAGTAATTTTGACAACTGATTTTTGGCTGCTTGGTGGGGTTTTTTTTATTCACCTTAGTTCCTTGTTTCTGATTTCCATTCCTCTTTATGGTAGACAAAGGCAGAGGGGACAGTCTGGGCTATTAATACTTCCAGAGAGAAGTACAGTGTAGTATTTGTGGAAATCTCTGTATTTCTCGTGAAAATGTTCAGAGGCTGGTGTCTTCTGTGAAACCAAAACATGATAAAACTCAAGCTAATTTAAAAACAGGTTCTTGTGAGGACTTCATGCTGGCTGAACCTTTTAAGAAGACTTCTAAAAATAATTTCAACAATTTTAAATAAATTGTAAAATAAAAAATCTGAAGATCTTTCAGGTTTGAATAGAAGAAAGCATAAAAATGGTTCTATGTTCTCCAGGTATCCGACACCTAGAAGTCTTTATCCTGACATATTGCTCCAGCCCAGGATTTCCTCAAAATCCTCTGCAATCTCTCTAAACGTTTTAACTCCTGTTTCTCTTGTGGACCCATCCTTGCTTTCAGTTCTGCCCTGTTAGTTCCCACAATGGCCTCAGAGTTTTGTTTTTTTGATTTTGTTTTAAATGGAAACAGCATTGCAGAAAATCTGGTCATCGGAATCACAGCATTTGAAGATTTACTGATGCCCCTGGGAAAAACTTTGTGTCATTATCTTTTCAACCAATTTCACTGACAGATCATTTACTATTTGCGTTCCTCCTCCCTTGCTGTGTGCTAGCTGAAAGAGTATAGTGGATTTTTTTTCCAAACTCATTCAGATTTTTTAGACAGGTTTCTGTGCTCCCAGAGCCTGGATCTGTTGCCTTTCTTGCGCACTGCTGCAAGCATCTGGAATCTCTGAAGTGTGGCTGGAGAGAAGGCTGCCCCCTGGGAGGACCAGCAGGGTCCTGTGCCTTGTTTCCCATTTCAGGTGAATGTTGCTCTCCAGGATGAAAATAGCCAAGTCCCCCAGACTTCAGAGATGTCCCTTCATCGAGTTCTGTTTTCCTCCTCTTGAGCCTGAGCTGCTGCAATTGGCGTTTGAAGCCCTACAGATGCAAACAAGTGAGGTTTTGCAATTTCATTTTTTGCTCAGAGAAGACACGCAAGACTTCTGTCAACAGTGTTTCCTGCTCTGACTCAAAAGGATCCCTGTGAGAAAAGCTGAGCACTTGGATTGCTGATAGTCCCTGGTAAATTAAGGGAAAAAGCGCAAACTCTGAGGAGAGAGACTGCCATCCCCACAGTGTAACCGGGGGGTGCTCCAGGTTCCCTCTGCTTGTGCTGCGCTGGACCTTGCGGTGTCCAGACAGGCAGTAAGGCTCTTTGTCCGTAGGAATGTTTGTATTGGTCTTCCAAAGAACTGCACGCTACAACAAAGATGCCTTCGCATCCAGGAAAAGCTACAGTGTTTCAAGACCTGTGCAATCTTTTCTTGTAGCTTCATCAGTCATCTCATGTGAGATGCAGAGACTTAGTTTTGCGCTAACCCTTCACCCCATCTGTTAACTGAAACCCAAGGCCATGTACGCTTCCTTACCTGACAAGCAGAGCAAGAAGATGAGACGCACGAGCTTCTCCATGTCAGCCAAGCAGCAAAAGGGACAGGAGAGGAGTCTGGAGAAAAGTGAAAAGGGCTCTTACTGAAGAGCAGCTCGTTTTTCCCCCCTCCTTGCTCTGGCGGAAGGACTGAGCACAGGAACTTGGCATCTTTTTCATCCTGCACATTGAGCAATTCACCAGGGCCAGGCGTTGCCCTTGTGGGCTGAAAATTCAGGCATCAGCATTGCCCACTCACAGCCACAATTTAGCCTGCACAGCCTGGAAGAGGCATCATGTGATGGCCTGAAACCATGGTACTGAGTGTCGCTCTGAGCTCAGCAAGGGTGCCTGACCTCCAGAGCCGGCTTTACGTGGAGATTGGTGTGGGGTTCATTTCTGGAAAGCTGAAAAGGAAAGGGCGTCTCTCACTGAGACTCTGCAGGTAGCTCAGTCAGCGTCATGAGGGTGAAAGGAAGACAAAGACATAGGGTTGTTTTCAGGACAAAGATTTAGAAGAGCCTGTGCATGAAGCATTCCTAGATAAGAAGTCAAGGACACTGTGTTGGGTGAAGCTGGGAGGTGTTTTAGGTGAGCAAAACAGACATTTTTATTTTGTACCTAACAGAAAGGACATACGATCGAGGGATGGGGGCGTTGATTCAGAGCCCATCAGTGCTGGACTGGTGCAGTAGTTCAGGACTGTGGTTAAGGGAGCCTCCTTTAGCATTAGCAAACTGGTGTGCTGTGGATGGGTTACGATTTTTTATTTTTCGAATTTTTCTACTTGGAGATCTTCCATGCAAGTACCAATGGGCCCTGGCTTGTTAACTCTTGTGCTTAAAGCTTAACAGGCAGATAAACCTGCAGGTCTGTCCATTCATAGATGTGCCTTCTTCTTCTTTCCACTGATTAGTGTTTAAGAAAATGGTATCTTACAGTATCCAAATATTCTCTGTGAGGCTTACTGATTGCAGTTTTTGTTCATTCTTGGTCCAGTGAGCACGAGTCTTTGATCAGAAGCAACCATCTCCCTGAAAATCTCTCTCTTCCACTCAGTTGTTTTCTACTATTACGCTTCCACTGTTTGACTCCATGTAACTGAGACTACATGAATAGCAAAGAGTTAGGGGAATGCTGGGCTGATTGAATCCTTTCCAGAACAATTTTCTTTTTCTTTCTGCCACTTCAAGTTAAAATGTCAGATCCGAGCATCTCAAAGACCAGATCAGCTTCCCTGCCACAGACATAGCAGGAGAAGCCTGTTGGATGTGACTGGCTTGTGACGAGGAAGTGGCTCAGGTCCCTTTAATTTGCCACCTGTCTGCAGAGCTTGGGGCACCCCAATAAAGTGCCAGGATTTCTGGTATTTTGGAGATACTGAGCTGAGCCCCAGCAAACTCCTCTCGTAATGCTCACCACATGACTGCTAAATAAAGGCAGCAAATGTGTAATTTGGAGTATTTCCAGCAGAGAGAGGGAAGTAATGGTATCACTTTCCAAGGCCCTGGTGGGCTCTCCCATGAAACTATGTGCATTTCTGGTCTCCAGTGACTTTAGAAGAAGCCACAAACGCTTGCTTTCTAAGTGTAGCCAAAAAAATAAAAAGTGCTGAAGGTAGGCATTCTGGTTTGTATTGGTCTTCCAAAGAACTTGGAGAACCCAGCTGCCCTGTGAATAGGCTGGGAAGAGCTTTCTGAAGTACAGCAGAGTGCTGCAGAGGAACAGAGCTGTGCCTGACACTGGCTGGATAGGGATTGCTGCAGAGATGCACAGGTGCCTCAGAACAAGGAAGGCGAGAGACTAAGTGCACTGGAAGAACACATTTGATAGTTTATGGTGTGATTATTCAGGATAGCAGGATCTGGTGAGGTCCCAGCCAGCCTGTTCCTGTCGCAGCTCTTGGAAATTGCCAGCCTGCATAAGAGCTGCACTGGAGAGCTAGAAATATATGTCGGGCTGACTTGGACATTTGCGTCTGTAAATAATCCACTCTTAATTAACCATCGTGCCCCTTCTGTTATATCCTCTGATACTGAGATCAACCCTCTTACATTCATATTATTTCCTCTGTTGTCTGTGTCACACTTCCTGCAACTTCTTTGCGCAGCCTGACAGTTCCTCGCTCTGGGCTTCTGACTGAGCAGACCTTCCTCAGTAGCTGAACTCTGAGGAGTGGGATAGAGTTTCTACCAGAGAACACAGTTAAAATACCAAACCCACTCGTGTCCAGAATACCAAACCCACTCGTGTCCTCTTTTTCAAAAGCTCAGTCCTCCACACCTGCCTCTCTGAAAGACTCTGCATTTTAATGGAACTGAAGAAAGCAGACGTGCAAGGGATCCCGAGAATTACCCAGCACCTCTGTCTGACCTCAGAGAACCTGCACCCTTGTGGCAAAATTCTCTACTGGCCTCTAAGAAAAAGGAGGTCTTAAAATATATAGGCAGCATATACATGGCAGCAAAAACTTAAATCTTTCCCCTGTGTCCATCCATACACCTTCCACTTGCTTTGTATTCCAGTTCTCTTCTCCCATATCTGGTTTCATTTGGGATTCTGTGCTTCATTCTTTGTCATTCCTTGGTAGGTGCTTGAGTGCAATGATAGAATATTCCACGTTTTCATCTTTGGGTTTCCTGTGAGCCTGACTTGGTTCAACATTACAGTAGAGAGGATCCTCAGGACTAAGTTGGGGTTTAAAGTTCAGGGTAACATATTTTAGGTCTTTGTTGTCATCCTTGGGACTTTCTATTCTTTCAGTGCTGCTGAGCTATCAAAAGAAAGGAAAAACACTGGTTAGCATCATTTGGTGCCAGGCCATGGCTATTATCAAAAGACCAAGATTTTCCCAGAAGGAAAAGAGAACTGATGTAAAAACTTTCAGAAGACTCTGTCCTTCACCTCTCCTTGATACAGGTTACATCCTCATCATCTAACCTTGGTTCCTAACCTTTGAGTCTCAGAGATTACTAGAATTTGCTCCAATGTGTTCTTTCGCTGCTGGAGTTTCCTTACATTAATTACCTCCCTCATTCTCCAGCGAGGAACATTCCTCTCTCTGATGACATTAAATACGATTTCCCCTCCTGCTCACAACCACAAACGAGCACCGAGGTCCTCATCAGATGGGTCAGCCAGCTCCTCACAGACTAGTAAAGGATTTGGCACCAGATGGGTAGGCTGTCGTTTTCCTTACCTGTGCTACGTCCCCTGCTTCATCGTAGATGTCCTCTGCTTGTCTGTTACCTTTCAAATGAGATAAAATCAGAGGGTTTAGAAGTACAGAAGTCCGTGAAATGCCTGGGCATTGCCTGTGCTTCTGGATTTTTGAGGAAGGCAGTGGGATTGCCCAGCGATAGAAGCAATGGGTGTGCCAGGGGGACCCATCCACCCTGAATGTGGTGAACACTCTGCTCTCACTTTACTTCTCCTCTGACATCTTAGGAGGTGTCCCATGCAGAGTCTGGAGGAATGTGGACTTATTGTGAGGGGAGATTACAGCAAGGAGCCTGCCTTGAGGCTTCCCAGGCTGTACCTGTCTTATCTTCTCCCCTCCACACACTGAGCTGGAATAAGCTCACCTGGAGTGATCGTTGCAGAAGGCCCTGTTTAGTACTGACTAGAACACGAGGCAGCACCAGTCTCCACGTACCTCTTGTCTTCAGCTGCTTGCGCCACCTGACGCAGAGCATTACGGAGCTGATGAGTGCCAGGATGAACAGGGTGCTCAGGATCCCAGAGAGCAGGATGAAGGTGTTTGCATTTGAGCTAAAGCCAGGAGAACAAAGGAGTCACCAGCATTAGATGGTAGCACAGCATGATCCCAAACAGTGACCGAAGAAAGGGACAGGAATAACTTTTATGCACGTGGAAGGAGGGTCTGGTTCTTCCACAGCAATGCTGTCTTGGTTTTTCTACCTGGCTGCGCCTTCTGAGCCTTTCCTAAACTATTCTGTGGGCTTTAAGAACAAGCCACTGTTCAAAGTTCAGAGCCCAATTCTAGGCTTTCTGCAGCAGGTGCTGCCTTTGCCTCCTGTGTTTTGCTGCACCTGATGCAGTGGAGCTGATGTATGATTGTACCCTTAGGTGCTACTGTAGTGTTGATAACAGCAGATGTCCAAAGGGGAGGAAAATCCTTTACATTTAACAGCCTGGTAAAAAAGAAGGATAAAATAGCAGGCAAGGACTATTTCATTGTTAAGTATTCTTAGGCGGGAATGAACAAAGTCAAGATAGAAAGGCTTAGGGGCAGAATCTGGGGTTTCTATTGCTGCAAAGAACACAGCCCAAAGGGAAAAGGATAAAAAAAAAAGCAGATAGGCATCTGCATTTCAGAAAGCTGTAACTTGATTTTACCAATCTGCTTCTTCCTTCGTAATTATGTTTTGGGCAGGAGCTGGAAGAGCAGAGGCCATCTCTGGTAAGGATGCCTGTCGTATCTAATTCCCCTGTGAACAGGAGTCTTCAGAATGCCCAGAGACTGTGTACTCCAGGAAGACAGGCGTACTGGGGCTGAGACATTAATAACCCGTGTCTGTGTTCAAGCTCAGGGAGTTTCCTCAGGCCTTACCTTGGTGCTGGGGTGTTGCCAGAAGGGGTTGCTTGACTCGTGCCTGCGATACCTGGCAAAGTTGTTCCAGCTGATACTGCGATCACAAATATGAAGAGCAATCACTACTGGGCTGCTTGGCATTTACCAGCTAAACTTCCCTGATATTGCTACCAGGGATAAAAACACGCTCCCGCTGTGACACCCGGCACAGACAAGCTGCCCAGGCTGTGACCTGTGTCATCAAGACTCCTTGGCAGCAGGCAAAGCAACGCAGGGATCAAAATGTGGGAGGGAGGGCAAAGAGCTCCTCAGGAGCCATCCCAGCGCTGATTGTGGCTGCTCTCACGTAAAAGAGAAGTAAAGCAGCACATGTGTGTGTTTCATTTCTGATCCCTGCTGCTGTTCTGTCGCATGGTCGGTACGAGAGGGTGTGATGATGTTGGGTTTGGGCAGGGAAACACACGCTGTCAGGTGGGACGTAGGTAATGGTGAAAGCTTGGCAGTGCAGACTGGAGTGAGAGGGTAGGAAAGCGAGTC